AAGGCCCTTCCTCCAAGCTATCTCCTTAACTAATCATAGCTTACTTAGAAGTGTTTTGTGTAGTTTCCAGATATTTGGGGATTTCTGAGATACCTCTTGTTGTTGATTTCCTATTTAATATGCCATGATCATAGAACACAGTTGATACATTTTCAATGTTTTGATATTGATTGAGGTTGTTTTATGGCTCAGCATATGATATATCTTTGTGAATGTCCAAGTACACTTGAGACAAATGTTGTTATACCCAGTGTTTTGTTGTTCTTTGTGTGTTTTGAATACAATGTATTTAAGATATATATACACACATACACACATATACTATATTAAATATAATGTGTGTACATGTGTATGAAATCTTCTAGGACTGTGGCATGCTGTTTTGTTCCCTTAATGCTGTTTTATGTTATTTTTAGGTAAGCATTGTTTTAGTATCCTGTTTAAGAAAACTTTGCCTACCCTCAGACCAAAAATGTATCTTTTGTTTTCTTCTAAATATATTATTATTTTACCTTTCACATATAGGACTGTAATACTACTGAAATTAATTTTGTCTCTGGTATGAAGTAGGAGCCATCAGATATATTTTTCCCATATGGATAGGCCACTGACCTTGCACCATTTATTAAAAAGGGCATCTGTTCTTTTGCGCTGCAGTGGTATCTTTGCTGTAAATCAAGTGAGTCAATATATGACTTGTTTCTAGAGTCTATCTATGTACTGTTTCATTAGTTCATTTGTCAATTAATTCCTCACTGCCATACCCTCTTACTTGTTATAACTTTATCTGAAACTACAAGTCTTTGGAACTTTATTCTTCTTCTTGAAGATTGTTTTGGCTGTGTTTTTTTTTTTTTGAGTTGGAGTCTCACTGTGTCACCTCGACCTGCTGGGCTCTGGCGTTTCTTCTGCCTCAGCCTTCTGAGTAGCCGGAATTACAGGCATGCACTATCACGCCTGGCTGATTTTTTTATTTATTGTAGAGATGAGGTCTCACCAAGTTGCCCAGGTGGGTCTCGAACCCACGGGCTTATGCAAGCTACTCACCTCAGCCTCCCAAAGCATGGGATTACAGGCTGAGCCACCGAGCTTGGCTTGACTGTTTTTGACTCTGTTCATTTCCTGCCTTAGTCCATTTCCTGCTACTATCATGGGATAGCTGAGACTAGGTAGTTTAGAAAGAACCAAATTTTGTTTCTTAGAGTTCTGGAGGCCAGGAAGTCCAAGACCCAAGGTGCTGACAGGTTTGGTTGTCTGGTGAGGGTGGCATCTTCTGGAGAGGAGAAATTCTGGTCCTTACATGGCAGAAAAAAAGAAAAGTAATCTAACTGAATCCTGTAGAACCCTTATGGCCTAATCACTTCTTAAAGCCCTACTTCTTCCTGTCATTTTGACAACACTTGAGGTGACATAGTCAAGTCATAGCATTTTAATACAATTTTTAGAATAGACTTTTCAATTTTTACAAAACATTTGCTAAAATTAGATGAAATTGCATTGAATTCATACTTTAATTGGGAGAAATCGATATTTTATAATATTAAGTTTTTAATCATGCAGATGACATATACTTCTGTTTATTAGGTCATCTTTAATATTTTCAATAATATTTTGTAGTTTTCTGTGTATAACTTTACTTCTCGGTATTAGAGGACTTTGAGGCTACTAGAAATTATACCTTTTAAATTATATTTTCTAATTGTTGCTTTCTAGTATGTAATATAATTGATTTTTGTCTATTGATTTTTCTGGTGATCTTGACAAATTCACTTATTTATTCTACTAGTTTATAGATTCTTTTGATTTTCTATAAAACTATCATGCCATGTATTTGTGTTTGTGAAATTGTAGTTTGTGTTATTTCTTTTGAATCCTTAAGATGTTTATTTTTTTGTCTTTATTGTACTGGCTGTGATCTCCAATATAATGTTAAATAATTGTGGTGATAATAGTTATCCTTACCTCCTTACTGCTCAATGAGAAAGTTTCAATTATTCACTATTAAGTATAATATTTGCTGTTTTTATTGACCATTTGACTTCTTTCCTTTTAATCTATTAATTATGTCTTCTATGGTTAATTTTTTGAATGTTAAACCATCCTTGGTATAATGTTCGACTGTTGACATTAGATGAGAAAGCAGGAGTTTATTAAGAAGACAAAAAAGCTCCCAAGTGGGAGGGGACCTGAAAGAGGGTTGCCCTGCTGACAGCTTCTAAGCACCATGTTGTCCTCTTTCTCTTTTGCTTATATCTGGGAAAGCTGGTAAGAAAACCCAGATTTTCCTTCCTTTAACACTGGTAGGAACTTCAAACCATGTGTAGGCCCCACCCCAACCACCATAAAAAATCGATTCCATAAAAAACTGTTCTCTCAAGTCATTTTTAACCAGCATGGGGGGCCTGTCCTCTTCTCAGAAGACTTTATTATTCGAGTGATAAACCTATTCATACCGTTTTAGAGTATATGTATTGTACATGTGTGGTCATCATCTCAATAACGAAACCAAAGTTTTGATGGCTATTCATCCTGCCTCTGTAGTGTGGCTGCAACAGTTGGCGCTGTGAGCCTACTAGATGTCTGGATGATGACCCCTACCACAGAGGTCTTTCTCATCTTGCTTTGGCTTATAATCTGGCTCCACCCATCTGCTCATGAGCCTGCATGTTGATCTGCTGCATGCTGGCTGGTGAACTCAAGTTGTGTTGCTGCCTGCTGGCAAGCTTGCACCTTGAGCTGTGTTGCACTGTGCTGCATTTGCTGAGTTCTACTGAGCTTAAGTAATAGATTTAACTGACCCAAATCAGAAATTTCAATAACTGGCATTTAGTGACAGGAGTCCCTAATGATTGAGGTCCTTCTTAAAGTGGTCCTGAGTCATGCATCTCAGCCCAGACATATCTGTATCTTATATTGAATTGCATTTCTCAATTCCAGCATTAACTTATGCTAAGCTCAGGGGAACGACTGTTACACTATGACTATTATTTGTGTGTCTCAAGCAGGCACTGGTGATTATACTATGGAATGCTCAGGAAAAAGACTGGTAACCTGTGCCGTATATGGCCCCATCAGGTGTCACATGGAGAAAGAGCAGATACTATGAGGCCTGCTAAGACCATAAAAATAGATGACTTGCCAGTGCCCCATAAAATGTCTTGGCTGCTGCTGCTGCTCCTACTGGCTGTGCCTTTGTTGTCAAAAAAGATCCTCATCCTCCGGTCTATAGGGAAAAGCACACACTGAGCAGCTAAAGAGTTAATACAACTACTTCCATGGGAAAGTCCCCTAACCCTGATAATATGGATTTGAGGCCCTCTGGAGGAAGAAATTTATAAATGTGAGTAGGGTAGACAGAATTCCTCTCTTGCCAATGTATATTCAGAAGCACACACACACACACACACACACACACACACAGAGAGAGAGAGAGAGAAAGAAAACCTGGAAACAGGGAGAAAACAAAAGCTGAACAGGAGCCCACAATTTGATGCAATTGGGAATCCAAAACAAACTTAAAGAATTTATACATCAAACAGATAAAAAGCTGTGTAGACTGTCTTTGTACCTCTAACACACAGATTTACTTTTACATCTGAAATACAGCAATTGACAAAACTTCATGGCTTTGTTCCTTGCTGGAGCTCAAGTTACACTTTTACCTGTGGGTTCTACTAAATTTAAACAAGATACTTCTGTCAACTTGGGGAGGTTTCTGAACATGAACTGGAGAATAAACAGGTATACCTCACCTTAATTATCAGCATCACTGACTTGCCCAAATTCTCTGTGATCATAGTATCTCCTAAAATATCCCATAGTGGGCATAGACAGTTGACCCAAAGAATACTAAATTAAAATTAAATTACATCCTTGGCACTTACAAATTGGCTTAACAAAATGGGACCCCACGGGCTTCTCTCCCTGCCAGTTAAAATAGTCAGTATGACCCAATGTAAATTAAAACAGGACCTTCAAGGAGTGAAACCCACTAAGCAGGATCTATTTTGAGACAACACCTACTGTTCCTCCATTCACCAACCTAATTTGTCCTCTTTTTAAATGTGGGAAGAATGAATGTGCCTCACAGTGGATTACCACGATTTTAATACCATGTTCACACCTCTTAAGGCCCCATATCCGATATCATTGAAATTGCTGATGTATCCAACCAGCAACTGGTAGATATTTTCTTCTAATGGATTTGGATAATCTGTTGAATGTCCCTTTCAATGGCCTCTCCATCACAACTTGCTTCACCTCCCAGTGGGCGTGACATACCTTCCCCAGATACTCAGGGAGTACCTCAACAGCCTGTCATGGCACACAGTCCTTGCAGCCAAGATATTAAATGCATCCGCCTCTCTCCTGGAACACAGATATAACTTACATCAACGAATCCTCCTCCCAAGAGATGCATTTAACACACCCCTTCAGAACAGGCAAATACAAAGGGCTTCACAAAGAGAGGATGAATGTGCCATTGTCCCACACAGAGATCAAGGTCCTGCCACCTCAGCTAAATTCCTGAAATTATTCAGTAGACCAAGGGCTACTCCATCCCTGACACTGTAAAAAAAAAACCCCAACTGTTGACCCTCTCAGCACCCACAATATTAGAATAAGCCCAACATCTTGTAGGCCTTTTTGGGTTCTAAAGTCAACATAGTCTTCGCTTACAAATGTCATGCTGTTACTGGCAAGTTGGCCTACTTTGAATAGGCCCTTCCTTCAAAAAAAGGCACTAAAATCTGTCCAAATTGCAGTATGGTGGACACATCCATTAGTGCTCCCCAGAGACCCCCTTCATTGTAGAGGCTTTATAATCTCCCCTGAGCCTCCTGGAGTCTCTTGACCTCCCATGATGGCCATGTTCCCTTCAAGGTTATCCCCTATTTCCCTGTGAATCATCAAAGGAACCAATCACATCTGGAGAGTTCAACCCTCGTGGGGTCTCTAGGCTGATTGTAGACCTGGAAAAAACAATTCTGCACAGCAGCTTATATTATAAAAGCATTTTATTGAACACACTCTGGAGGTAGCCAGAACCAGAACAAATTTGGGATTGGGGTAGGGAGTCTGTTTTGATGGTTTAGACACTGGAAGATTTTGGATTCTTGCACCACCAAGGACCATGCTGTGGAGACCAAAGGCTGATTGGAAGCAGATTGTAGCACTGTGGCACTGGAGCCCAGACACCGGGAATTGGGCTCTTCTGGGTTCCAAAGAATGTGGTTCTGTAATAGGCTTGGTCTAGACTACTCTCCAGAAAAAGGGAAAACTTGGCTTGGGGAACTGCCTGGGAGAGGCAGTCTCCAGGGGCCGGGTGGCTGCGTGGGGAGGCAGTGACTTGCAGCAGGTGCTTAGCTCTTGAAGCTCTTCCGGGAAGAGGAGGTGGTGGAGACAAATTTCACGCTGGAGCTGCTGCCCCCGCCACTGCCAAAGCCTCCCCCCATGCCTCGGCCACTGCTTGCGCTGAAACCGGAGCCCCCCACACTGAGCCCGCCGCCTAGGCCGACACCCCCGCTGCTGCTGGAGTAGTAGCTTCCACTGCCACCTCCACCAAGGCCACTGCCAAGGCCTCCACCGAGGCCGCCACCAAAGCCACTGCCGCCGCCGTAGCCACCACTGCCGCCGCCGTAGCCAGAGGAGACGTTGCTTGTGACGACAGCTGCAGGGAAAGGAGGGAGAACTCAGTATGACCATCTGTCAGTTTGAACCTACATGGTCAATTTGGTGGCTCCTGCTGGCGTCAAACCACTTTACTCAGCCCATTTTACAGAGTTAGCAAACAAGGCCCAGAAGGACTAAGTCACTTAGTTAAGGTCCCTACAAACAGTGGGTGGAACATAAGAGGCAAGGCATGGTGCTAGGTATGTGTGGGGGAGAGGGCCAAGGCGGTGGGACAGGGTCCAAAATGTGTAGGCTGCATGGCCTACCCTTTAGGAGATAAGACGTGAGCTGCATTGCTTCCTGTCCCAATCCGTCCCTCCCCTCCACTGCCTACTCCTCACTGAGTGTATCAAATAACCATCTGCTGAGACGGAGAATGCCTGGCATCTAAAAACACCAGGATTCGGAGCTGATCTCAAATATCCCACATTATCATCATGGTTAATGTCTGTTCAAAGATACTTACAGATGTTGACTGGTCCAACTCCTTCTCCACTCAGTCTGCAAGGGAAAAAAATTGAGTTAAGCGTTAACCACTCCCCAAAAAACAGCATTAACCCTGTGGATAACTCCCATGGCTATAATTAGAGCTCACTCTATAAGCCAGGAGGCATCCATATGCCCCAAAAGACTATTTAAATTAAAGGAAGAGAAAGCTCTCTGGAGGGACTTTCCAATGAATAGGGATTGACTTAGAAATATGTTGTCCACAGAAGATTCTAATTCACTTTCGTCTCCATCTGTTACATGGAAAGTGTGAGTAAGAAGCTGTGAGAAATATGCAAGTATAAAGCAGTTTTTGCCTTGTAGGAGCTGACATTCTGCCAGAAAACTTGGCATGGACAGAAATTCCTCAGAAAGAGAATAGGTAATAGGAAGAGCCAGAGATGGAAGCAAAAGGTTAGTTTGAGAATCCAAAGTCAGGTGAGTTTAACTCAGCTGGAGTAACCATGAAGGGCTTCCTGAAGGAAGAACTACTTGAGGAATTGGGAACACAAAGATGGAGATGGAGAGTGAGGCTAAAAAAAGAATATGAGCAAAAGCAGAAAAGGGACAGAGATCGTGGCACGTTAGTCGAGTTGCTCAGTTGCTTGGAGGAGGGAGAGGCAGTGCCCAAGAACACTGGTTGGGGGAGAGGCCAGAAAGGTAAGTCGAGGCCAGCGCTATGCGCATGAGTCAGACTGAAGTTGGATTGACGGCGTGTCATGATCTTGTGTAGGACAGTGGTCACTTATCCGTGTGTTGTACTCCCTGCCACGGGGCAGCTGCGCTTATCAAATGAGAGGGTGCCCTGGGCTCACGCTGTCTGCCCACCTGCACTCCTCGCCCTCCAGCAGCTTCCTGTAGGTGGCGATCTCCACGTCCAGGGCCAGCTTGGTGTTCATGAGCTCTTGGTACTCGCGCAGCAGCCGTGCCATGTCCTGCTTGGCCTTCTGCAGGGCGTCTTCCAGCTCGGCCAGCTTGTTCCTGGCATCCTTGATCGCCAGCTCCCCACGCTGCTCGGCGTCTGCGATGGCGTTCTGCAGGTTGGCGCACTACAGAGGGAAAGGAAGGAAGAGTAGGGACACATGGGTGGCTGAGCTGACCCTGAGGTGTCTCCTTCAGAGATTCTGGGTCAGGCAAACCAAACTATCTGGAGCCCCAGTGAGAACCCGGTACGTCTGCCCTGGTCGTCGTGGGCGGGGGAGCACGGAGAGGCTGGTGCTTGTTCCAGCTGTGTGTGTGTTTAGCCAAAGCGAGACATAGCAAAGCAAAACAGGCCTCCCGCTCAGAGCTCAGGATCGCACATCTTTCACCCTCACCCTACCTGCTTCTTGACGTTGTCTATCTCGGATCTCAGCCTCTGGATCATGCGGTTCATCTCTGAGATCTCATGCTTGGTGTTGCGAAGGTCATCGCCATGCCGGCCAGCTGTCTGCTGCAGCTCCTCGTACTGATGCCCCCCAGAAAAGAAGAAAGATTCCAGGGTCACCAGGGTGAAAGCACTTTCCCAAAGTTCACAGGCGGCGGGGGGCAAGCAGTGCCGTTATCTAGGGTCTGGGCTAGCTCAGCCGCTTCCAGGTGCAGTTCTGGTGCCTTTGCTCCCAGAGACACGTGTGAGATTCAAAGCAAGATTCTTTTCCAGGTTCTTGGGTTTATATGACAAGTATACACAGGGTAGTTCCCGTAACTCACCCCAATGGGCCTTGGTAAGCTTCAGGAGTCCTGCCCTTAGCATTGTCATGCCGTAGAACCCCAGATGTGTGTCCAACTGCTCACTTGGGAGACATTGGCCAGAGCACTCACCTTGGACTGATACCAGGTCTCAGCCTCTGTCCGGCTGCGGTTTGCAATTTCCTCATACTGCGCTTTGACGTCAGCGATGATGCTGTCCAAGTCGAGGTTGCGGTTGTTGTCCATGGACAGGACCACGGATGTGTCGGAGACATGCGTCTGCATCTGGGACAGCTCCTGCAGGGAGATTTGAAGTCAGGCCTCTGAACTCAATGTCAGTTTCATTCAAATCTTCCACTCACTATGATATGTCAACTCGAGAAAAAGAAAATAACCCCCTACTTGAAAGATTCAGGGAAATTTCTTACCGCATCGAAGAACACCTTCAGGAAATTGATCTCATCCATCAGGGCCTCCACCCTGGCCTCCAGCTCCACCTTGTTCATGTAGGCGGCGTCCACATCCTGGGGAAACAGGGGATGGTTGGCACTGCGCACGCTTCCACCCTGACTTAAGTGAGCACCACTCCTAGGAGAGCATAGCCACGGGCTATGGGCGCTCTCCTTCCCACACGCACCTTCTTCAGCATCACAAACTCATTCTCGGCTGTGGTACGCTTGTTGATTTCATCTTCATACCTGGTGGTGAAAAAGATGGGAAGTGTCTGTCAGAGGATAAGGGCCAGGGACGGGTCTTTATGGCACAGAGTCAACTGCGAGCTTACGGTCACAGTGGGAAGGGGCTTCTCATGTTTCCTAGGCAGAGAGGGAGGGGACATTGGTAGCATGAGCCTCTGGGCAAGGACCTTCCTTATCTGTAGGATACTGCTTTCTCGATAACTGCCTTCCAGATAATTCTTCTATCATTGCTACAAATCCTTTTTTCCTCAAGAATATTCCAGTAGAAAAGCTAGGTTATTTCTCTCCAAGTTCCAAATCTAGTCAATTTCTTTAGTACTTTTTTTCAGCTATAGTCTTTTACAAAAGGAAACAAAACAAAAACTAGCAGCCCAGTTGCTAAAGAAGGGACATAAGGCTAAAGAAATTATTTAAGCACCAAGCTGGGTTATGTCACCAGTTCCTGCATTGAGGCAAACCCCTCCAAAGGTCCACGCTGTGTACTTTGACTTTATTGGGGAGGAAAGCACCAGAAAGCACGGATTCCATAATGGCATATTTCACCAGGGAGTGCCAAGGGTGCACAGCTTGTTGCTCCGGCCGCTGGCTAAGTGCCTTGCAGAGGGGCTGAGCCTGGGGCAGGAACTTTCTAAACGTGGACCTGGTGTTGTCATTGTTCTTGTTTTTAGTATTGTAAGTATCCATGGAAGGTATATGCTTTGAGCCCATAGGGGACATAAATAGAAGACGGATTATGAAGCCCTTCTGGTGCCAAGAAGACTTCACCCACCCCCATCTTCACCCCCTGCCCAACTCACTTGTTCTTGAAGTCCTCCACCAGGTCCTGCATGTTTCTCAGCTCTGAGTCCAGGCGGCCTCTCTCTCCGAGGATGCCATCCAGCTGCCTCCTGAGGTTGTTGATGTACTGCTCGAACAAAGGCTCCAGGTTCTGCCTCACAGTCTTGGTGCCCTGCTCCTGCAGCAGGGTCCACTTGGTGTCCAGGACCTTGTTCTGCTGTTCCAGGAAGCGCACCTGGAGGGGAACAGAGTTTGAAGATGGAGAAACGTGGATTTCATGCTTCAGCGATCAATGCACTAAAGTTCTCTCATCTCATGCTGTCCCTCTAAACCCTTCCTGTGCACAAAGCCTGGCCCTGGGCCCCAGGAGGGGCAGTCCAGAATAAGGCTCCCAACCCTACTCTTCCAGGGAGACAGGACATTTGTCCAGGGTAGACAAAACACTAGGAACAGCTGGTGGGCTTGCAGCCAGCACAGTGGTGGCCGTGAAGGCACTCAGGCTGCTGCCGATGAAGGTGTCTATCTTCCCACGCCATCAGTCCCGTTATGCGAGGTGTAAAACACATTTCTCTGTCCAACAGTGGTTGGGGGACCCTTATGAGGTAACCTCTGATTGGGAAGAAATAAGAATTTCCCTTCCAAGCTGTCCATCTAATGAAGAAAGTGTCCACAGGTCCAAGACACAGAAACAAGCAGAAACACGTAACTGCAAATGCTGAAGGTATTTACATAAAGCCAAAAGCCTTCCCTCATCCCTCTCACTCTGGCTTTGATTCCAGGCTCACAAAGACTTTTTTACAGAGGATCGTCTCACCTTGTCGATGAAGGAGGCGAACTTGTTGTTGAGCGTCTTGATCTGCTCACGCTCCTCGGTCCTTACCCGCTGGATAGCAGGGTCAATTTGCAGGTTGAGGGGAGTCAGGAGACTCTGGTTGACGGTGACCTCTTGGATACCTCCAGGGGGACAGACGGGGAAGCCAGGGCCACCGAAGCCACCTCCAAAACCAGCTCCACCACCGAGCCCAAAGCCACCACCAGCTCCACCGCCGAAACCGAATCCACTCCCGGCGCCACTTCCGAAGCCGTAGCCACCTCCAGCACCGCCACCAAATCGGTTCCTGAAGCTGCCACCACTAGAGCTCATGGAGATCCTCTTGGAGCCCCCCATATTGTAGAGGCTCCGGCTGCCGTAACCCCCCCCTCCGTAAGCACCCCCAAGGCTGACCCTGCCAAAGCCACCACCGCCACCCCCGGACCGGGACATGGAGCTGAAACTGGTGCGGGTGACGGACGGGGTGACGGCAGAGGCAGCGCTGAAGGAATGGCCGCCCCCACTGCGGAAGGAAACACTTGACTGGCGAGACATGGTGGCTTGTTCCTGGCGGAGCAAGAGAACTGGTAGATTGAGAGGTGCTGGAGAGAACAGAGCTCAGCAGGATGCAGAAGGTGGCTCTGTTAGCCGGGAACTGCTGTGCCCCCTTTATATCCCACTAGAACAGGGTTGGGCGGGAGAGCTGTCGGGCTGCGAATGATTAAGTGGGCTGGGCATGCCCGGGGGGCAGCGGTGAGCTCACCTGTCACACCTGCACGGTGGTGCGGGGTGCAGACTCTTCCTGGCAGGCTCTGCTCGGTTAGAAATAACTTGCCTTGCAGCATTGATCTCTTGGCATCAAGTTGGACACCGCCGACAAGTGTCTCCTCACTCTGGGGGCTGAGGCTGGGGACTGGGAGCCCCCAGGAAGGATGCCAGGCAGTGAGGGGGCATTGGCCGCAGCTGATGTCTTGGGGAGCCTTACAGGACCACGATATTGACGACCATCCCAGCATGGCACACGCTGAGCACTTGCCCTTGCAGCTTCTGGGACACTGTCTGTCAGTGGGGGCAAAGCCATCCCCACCTGGCAGCAATTGCTTACCTAATGCTTTTCCAGGCAGCAGGTCACCGCAGGGCTTTCACCTCTTGGTAAAGCAACTGGTGGCTTCAGATCTTGCGTACGTGCCAAAGGGAACAATAGAGTCCTGTCTGTTTCTGCACAATTTCTTTCTTGTGAGAAGCACGGCTATCCAAGAGCCCACTGGGGATTTCACCTACAGGCTCCCCTAAGCCCTGAGCTCCAGAAACAGAGAATGCAGGAAGCCCTCGGTGCCTGCTATACACCACTTTGATCTTACTAGGGCCAGGCCTGTCCTTCCACAGCGTCTTCTTAACTGCGTTTTCTGTACCCTTTGTTCTTTCCCTTGCTCTTTGGCCTGGGCAGGACCCTGCAGGGGGCTTAGCAAACCCAGAGACCCCATGCCACCCCTTCCAAAGAGCCCGGAGACCCGGCAGGCTGGCACGTCCCTCTTCAGGGGGGCTGCTCTGCGGGCTCCCAGCCCCCAGTTGTGTGCCAGCAAGCTTCTGGTTATTCCACTAGGGAAGGAATGAGTCATCGCATCTGTCGATACAGGCTGAAGGCCGCCACAAACACATACCTGCAGGAGTTTCTAATCTCGTCAGGAACATGTTGGGGAGCCACCGGCCTGTTATAACGGAGAACCGTCCTGTTCTGAGCAGCGGGAACGGCCGCGCTCTCGGCACTCCAGCCCAAAGTCGTTTCAGGGCCAAGGGAATGGAAAAAGGAATTCTAAGTCTGTGGATTTCACTGCCAGAGAGGCTAGCCAGAGCAGGTCTGTGGCCCAGGCAGCTGGCATCTCAATCTGCCTGTTGCTTTAGGGATTATCCCACGAGAGTCCCCTCTGAAAAGCCTGCCTGGAGAGTTGTAGACCCAGGAAAGGGGATTCTGGTCTGTCCCCCACCTTTGGGCAGCAGGTCTGAGTACGATCACTTCTCTGCCTTCTTCCCCACACAGAAGCAGGACTCAGACAGGGCAGCATTTGGGCCGTTAGGAGCTGTGGGGGCCCCCGTGGGCCGAGGCTGGAGGTCAGGGTGCAGGGGGGGGTTCAAAGCCTCAGGGCCGAGGGACTGTATACTCCTGTGTAAAGAGATCAGGACCCAGCCCAGGCTCAGGCATCTCTAGTCAGGGCCTGTGGTTAGCCACAAGGAAGCCCAGGCTGTGGGAAAATGACTCGATGGAGCTGGGGATCAACTACAGCAGTGATTGCTGAGCAGAGGGCTGTGATGAGCCCAACCCCGGCAGACAGGCCAAGGGCTAGAGCAGGCCTGGCAGGGCTCGGCCACCAGGCTCTGGTTGCCTCCCTGCCTGGAGAATTTCTGAGACCCTCAGAGATGGATTTTCCTGAGTTCGCCAGTTTCACACCGCATTGCCTTTTGTCGACTGGACATATCTCGGAGGCCTGAGACGCATCGAGAGACACTCAGTTCCTGACAAACAGGCCTGAGCTTGAAGCAGGTGTCTGGGTACTGACTCCTAGCAGGAGTCCTTCCTCTCCACTGGAAGATCGTTCCTGGGGTATGTTCCCTCCCCCGACACACACAGGTCCTGGGTACGGCCGCCACTGCCCTGGGGAAAGCCCTGCCCCTCCTGAGACACTGGGACATTCTCTTCTTCCATTCACCCTCCTCCCAGCTGTGTTGTGAAGAAAGAGGACTTGACAGAAGAGGAATGTGTTCTGGCCAGTCTGAAAATCAGACTAGCATGTGCCAAGCTCAGAGCTAGACGCTTGAGGCGAGGGACTGAGGCGAGTGTGTGGCTGCAGCAGGGAGTGTTTGGGTGTCTCGGTGAGGGAAAAGCACACACTTCAGCCAGAGCTTTGTGGGAATCCACCCCCATGCAGGCCAAGACCCATCCCAGTCCAGGAGCTTCTCTCCTGGAGCCTCTACTCAAATGTCTTCAACAGAAAATGTCTTTAAGAAGGCATCATAAACAGACCATATTCAATAGGGCATATTTTGCACATGGACTCTAGGTCCCTCCCAATGGTGCAATGGGGAAATTTTGCATGGCCCACACCTTCAGTCCAGCCTTGTGAGCTGGAGGTGCCCAGCAGACATTTTTTGGGGAGGGGTCTGAGTCTCTGTTGTCCAGGCTGGAGTGCAGTGGCATGCTCACGGTCACCTCAGCCTCAACTAGCTGGACTCAGGTGATCCTTCCACCTCAGCCTTCCAAGTATCTGTAACTACAGGTATGAGCCACCATACCTGGCTAATTTTTTTCATTTATTATAGAGATGAGGTTTCCCCAAGTTGCCCAGGTTGGTGTCGAACCCCTGGGCTCAGGCAATCCTCTCGCCTCTGCCTCCCAAAGTACTAGGATTATAGGTGTGAGCCACTGAGCCTGGCTGACATTTTTAAAATTAAATGGACATAAAGTCATCTCCCATGGCTCTGTTCCCAGATATTTATGTGAATACCGCATATGATATAGATTCATACTGCACATCATACTACCATGTATACATATCATATATATGTTTGTATACAATGATGTGACTCTCCCAACTCTATTGTGAGTCCCGGAGTCCTATCCACCTGCTTTTGTCTACAGGCACACCCATCCCTGCGGTCTGCATCTGAGCCCACTAATAGCCTGCGCACCGCCACCCCCGCCGATCCCCTCCAGGAAAGAAAGAAAGCTAGAATGTCCTTGTCTTGTCTCTGCAGCCCTTCCACCCCATGCATGGTCAGCACAAAAAGCGGGGAGCCGTAGTTGAGGCGTGAGTCACCCTATTCACGGGCCTGCAGTTGCCAGCCCCATCGGAAGCCGGGAGCCAGATTCACAGCAGGGAGAAGGGTAGGTGGAGCAGAGTGCCAGCCCCAGATCACTCTTCATGAGGCCCTAGCCTTGGGGAGGAATTGAGGGAGGAATTTTCCTGCCTCCACCCAAAGCCGGCAGTGGGAATCCTGCCCCCAACCCTATTCTGGGTCCCAGCTCTGATCCTAGCTAGATTCTCAGGATCTCAGGGGGACTGGCCCCGCGGTGGCCTTGGGGAGCAGGACGCACCATCCCTTCCTCACGCAGCTGTGCCTGGCCGAGCCTACCTTGCCGCACTGGGACCCCTGCCCCACCCAGGGTCTGCAGGACTTCTAGACCCTGAGTCTGAAAACAAGCCTGGGTAGAAACGCAAATGCCTGGAAGTGAAGCAACCACTCAGCCTCAGACCAGACAGGCTTGAGAGGTGGCTTCCTGCCGTCATGACTGGCCTCAGAGGAACAAGCAGCCCCTCCAGAGTTGAGGTTTCTTGTGCAAGGACTTCACACAAATTGCTGTTGCAGCATCATGAAAGTAGCTTGTGGCCCCATGTAGGTCCCAATCCAGCCCTTGAATGCCCAGTCTTCACTGCACAGCTTCTCCTGTGGGGTTTAGGCAGAAGGGGGAGGCCAGTGCTCACTGGAGGAGGGGGCCATGCCAGCTGAAATTTTAATTTTGAGCTGGCTGGGGCTGACAGGAAGGGTGGGGCAGGGCTTCAGGGGGCTGTGAGGAACAGCCTTGGCCCCCATCCCTCAGACCTGGCAGGCGATTGGCCCTTGCTGGTGAGGGTGCGCACAGAGCTGTCAGCTCCCCTGCAGCAGGCCCCTGCAAGTCTGAGGAATGTTCTTCCCTCGTCTGAAGCGTGTTTTTCTAGTGGCATACCAAACTCTTTGAAAATCCCCCATGGACTGATTGAAACTATGGGCTGGAAATCAACAAATACTTTAATTAGTCAGAGGGACTAAGAAAAGGAGATACAGCAAAACCTGAGCACTTTGCTCTCTTGTGGAGGGTGGTTTGAGCTTTCCAATAAACACTTAATAGGTCTCACCACGCAGAAGGCTCTGCCCTCCACGCTTCACACCTATGAATCTAAAATTGGGCCATGCAGAGAAGGGTTCTCACCGTGTTCTCAGCATCTGCTTAGGCTGTCGATGTAGGTGTGGGTGTGTCTGGATGCTGGAAGTCACACAGCCTTTCTCTTTAGTGGAGAGGGAGGGATGCGACTCGTCTATACCAGGCTTGGATCCCTGTGCGGTCAGAGGCCTGGAAGGAGGCTTGTTTCTGTTTCTTTTTTTTTTTTTTGAGTTCGAGTCTCATTCTGTCGCCCAGACTGGAGTGCAGTGGCTGCTTCCAGCCACTGCAGCCTCGACCTGCTGGGCTCCAGCGATCCTTTCGCCTCAGCCTTCCAAGTCGCTGGAGCTACAGGCACAAGCTACCACACCCGGTTATTTTTTGATTTATTGTAGAGATGAGGTATCACCAGGTTGCCCAGGTGAGTCTCGAACCCACCGGCTAGAGCAGTTCACTCACCTCAGCCTCCCAAGGTGCGGGATTACAGGCTGAGCCATCGGGCCTGGCTTGTTTCTGTTTCTCACCTGCCCCCTATTTCTTTTCCTCCTGCTCCTCCACTCCCTTCTTGGTAGCCACAACTAGGAACAGGAAGGCAGAGGGATAGAATGACCGTGTCTCCAAGTGCAGCGATGGCCTATTATCTTCCATCACGCCACAGAGTACATGTGGGGACTGGCCCAGCCCATGCTCTGAGCTGTTTGGGGATCATGAAAATCTAGAGCTTCAGAGGGGTCCCTTGTCTAGCAGTCATTGGGCATGTCTCACTGGTTTGGAAGCAGCCTCCTAAGAAGACATCTGGGTCCGCGCCTCAAGCTTTGTGCCAGAGAAGCCAAGAAGAGGGGAGGAGACAGAGTCAGCACTCAGCATAATTGCCCTTCTGGGATGGGTAGGCACGGGGTGGGAGGAGAGTGGATCTACCTGGCTGGAGCATGGAGCTGGGGCTGAAAGGCCATGGCCACCAGGGATTTATGAAAGGAACGAGGAATGATGGGAGCCCTTGAAAACTGCTTCAGAGGGCAAGCAT